ATATTGTTCCAATTGATAGAGCAAAAAACAATTTGTGTTTCTGCTTTTTCTAGTCATTACAATGTGTAGCACGCAGAGGTCACAAGATTAGTCTTCCATCTTAAAGCCTCCAATAGACTCTTTGTTCATTTTCACCACTGGTCAAGACTCTAATGTTTCCCTTTCCTTCTTTGTCCCTGTCTTGACTGGGAGGTTATTTGAGGATGAGTTGTGGGGATGCTATTGGGTTATCTTTGTATGCTGTTTCTATTCTTTGCATTACTACTACAGCTTTCCTGTTGCTGGATGTTCTTACATCGACAATGAAAGTCATGTGAAGCTCTACATGATTCTTTCAGGTTTCAGCAAAGGCCTGAATGGTTCCAGAGAAACAACATGCAGTCAAATTATAGTATTCCACATTTCTGGTCTCAGACCAATTTCATGTGTTAATGTGTGCGTGACGCTGGGAAAGCTCTGAAAACCTCTCGGCAGGGAGAGAAACAATGAACGAGTAGAAAGAGAGAGATATACCTGTACATGTGGTCATGGGGGGCATATATAAGTGGACAAAAATGGGCACTGTAAAAAACAATAATATCATAATTTCTTGCTCTCATCAAATTGGCCATAACTGGCAAGGTGTTTCCACAATATCCTTTGTTTGTTTTTGAAAAGGAGGAGACAGTTGTTACACTCAATCAGGTGCTGTATGAGAAAGACAAAACAGTAAACACCTATATCCATACTATATATACAAAAGTATGTGGACACCCCTTCAAATTAGTGGATTCGGCTATTTCAGCCACACCCGTTGCTGACAGGTGTATAAAATCGAGCACACGGCCATGCAATCTCCATAGACAAAGATTGGCAGTAGAATGGCCCAACATCAGTGCCCGACCTCACTAATGCTCTTGTGGCTGAATGGAAGCAAGTCCCTGCAGCAATGTTCCAACATCTAGTGGAACGCCTTCCCAGAAGAGTGGAGGCTGTTATAGTAGCAAAGGGGACCAACTCCATAATAATGACCATGATTTTGGAATGAGATGTTCGACGAGCAGGTGTCCACATACTTTTGGTCATGTAGTGTATCTTGTTTCGCCAAGGCCATAGAAACTACAGTAAGCAACATACTCTCAAATACTTCAGCTCTCAACAAAAGCTAGTGTTGGAAAGCAATTATCTTGTAATCAGCTTGTCAGATGAAACTGTCAGATTGTATTTTGTTTCATCTGGTTAAACACTTTACTTTCCCTGGCAGGGACTGAACCAACTTCAAAGGGCCCTGTAGCCTACAGTAAAACTCTAGACAGGAAGTTCCCCCCCTGCAGATGTTGCCACATGAACATATGAGAGCCCTGATAGCGGGTACTATCAACGATGTCACTTCCCCTGCACCCTGTCTCCTCTATGAGGAGGGGAACCATGTTACTGTGACGTTATAGCATTGTCTCATTTTGATATAAAAAATATATATAAGTTGTACTCGCAATTCAGCTGGTTGCTGCCACTTGTATAATAATTTGTTGAAGAATAATAAAAAACATCTCTCTCATGCTGCATCTATCAATGGGGAAGGATAAGGGGTTTTTCATTTTTTCATTTTTTATTTTTTATTTCACCTTTATTTAACCAGGTAAGCCAGTTGAGAACAAGTTCTCATTTACAACTGCGACCTGGCCAAGATAAAGCAAAGCAGTGCGATAAAAACAACACAGAGTTACATATGGGGTAAAAAACATAAAGTCAAAAATACAACAGAAAATATATATACAGTGTGTGCAAATGTAGCAAGTTATGGAGGTAAGGCAATAAATAGGCTATAGTGCAAAATAATTACAATAGTATTAACACTGGAATGCTAGATGTGCAAGAGATTATGTGCAAATAGAGATACTGGGGTGCAAAAGAGCAAAATAAATAACAATATAGGGATGAGGTAGTTGGGTGGGCTAATTTCAGATGGGCTGTGTACAGGTGCAGTGATCGGTAAGGTGCTCTGACAACTGATGCTTAAAGTTAGTGAGGGAGATAAGAGTCTCCAGCTTCAGAGATTTTTGCAATTCGTTCCAGTCATTGGCAGCAGAGAACTGGAAGGAATGGCGGCCAAAGGAGGTGTTGGCTTTGGGAATGACCAGTGAGATATACCTGCTGGAGCGCAGACTACGGGTGGGTGCTGCTATGGTGACCAATGACTTAAGATAAGGCGGGGATTTGCCTAGCAGTGATTTATAGATGGCCTGGAGCCAGTGGGTTTGACGACGAACATGTAGTGAGGACCAGCCAACAAGAGCGTACAGGTCACAGTGGTGGGTAGCGTATGGGGCTTTGGAGACAAAACGGATGGCACTGTGATAGACTACATCCAATTTGCTGAGTAGAGTGTTGGAGGCTATTTTGTAAATGACATCACCGAAGTCAAGGATCGGTAGGATAGTCAGTTTTACGAGGGCATGTTTGGCAGCATGAGTGAAGGAGGCTTTGTTGCGAAATAGGAAGCCGATTCTAGATTTAACTTTGGATTGGAGATTCTTTATGTGAGTCTGGAAGGAGAGTTTACAGTCTAACCAGACACCTAGGTATTTGTAGTTGTCCACATACTCTAGGTCAGACCCGTCAAGAGTGGTGATTCTAGTCGGGTGGGCGGGTGCCAGCAGCGTTCGATTGAAAAGCATGCATTTAGTTTTACTAGTGTTTAAGAGCAGTTGGAGGCTACTGAAGGAGTGTTGTATGGCATTGAAGCTCGTTTGGAGGTTTGTTAACACAGTGTCCAATGAAGGGCCAGATGTATACAAAATGGTGTCGTCTGCGTAGAGGTGGATCTGAGAGTCACCAGCAGCAAGAGCGACATCATTGATATACACGGAGAAAAGTGTCGGCCCAAGAATTGAACCCTGTGGCACCCCCATAGAGACTGCCATAGGTCCAGACAACAGGCTGCTGACAGTGCTACTTGAGCTGGTCTTTGTCTTCACTTATAATTCAATGGAGTAAACAGGAGTACATTTTAGGTAGGTTAGCAGTTAAGAGGGTTAAGCCAGTAACCTAAAGGTCGCAAGGTTCGAATCCACTAGCTGACTAGGTGAAAAATCTGTTGATGTGCCCTTGAGCAAGGCACTTAACCCTACTTGTGCCTGTAAGTCGCTCTGGATAAGAGCATCTGCTAGATGACTAAAATGTCAATGTAAATGAGTGCATTTGATTGGTCCCCAAGTGCTCCGTCAGATGAACGTGTAAATAGATAGTTAACACACAGGCCAGTGTAGATCCACACATGAACATGAGTGTGTCATTAAGCCATACACTGTCGCAATAAGAACACTTTGCTTTTCGTCTCTTTAAAACAACAGACAATCACTTGGTTGCAATATGCATAATCACAAGAATAAAAACAAATGTCTTGAAACTCAAATTGCTTGACAATGTGTTAAAGATAAATGATTGTTTCCATGTTGCTGGTGCCATGGCCATACAATATACTGGTTGTATATACAGAGCTGCAGGGGAGGGAGTACAAAGGAAACCAATTCCTGGTGTCTGTTATTTCAATAAATTACTAACCCACAGTATTGCAAAACCATCATTTCCAGTTCAAATACTGACTGCAACTCACAAGCATCAAATTTGTTTAGTGACACACCACTGCACCCTAGTGGAAGTCCAAGTGCTTGCATGTGACTATTATTGCCTTGCACTCCACTGGTCAGCATTATTCCTGGTGGAGGAACAGATGGGTAGATTGGCAGACTCCCATTGGAGGAAAAACAATGGTCAATAGAGGAAAGCCTTCTGCAGCTCCTACAGCCTACACCTCCTCACCACATTCCCCTGACTGGCACCACACAGATTACTGACAGGCTGAATGAAGCTCACTGGAAGAAGCACAATCTATGCTATATCTGTTTGTGAAGGAGTAGGATTGTTGTTGTATGTTTATCGTGATGCTGTGTGAGTGTGTGTGTGTATGTGTTTGTGGGTGATCTCTGAATTAAAATATCACAATCAAACATCAATGACAAATGTTCCAGAGCTAAAACTGTATAATTGTAAGTCTATGTACGGCATCACATCACAGTATGAAATCTGGTTTTGATGAGGGCAGAATCCAAAATAAACATTTCTGAATGGTTTTCAAAGGCAATAGCTCAGTGAAAGATTAAACCTATCAACTGATTACTTTAATTTATTTTGGTCTGCCTCCTCTGTCTGTCTTCACCAGTCTGCATGATCTCACAGACTGTTAACGTTAACCTGTTTCTACACTGAGCAACACACACACACACTCTAAGATCTATATTTAACTTTGCTTGTGTTGGAATGGGGATGTGTGCCAGAGGATTGTGCATATGAGGCAGGAGTTCAGTGTCAGTTTCCAACAAGGCCTCTAAATTTAGCCTGGGTAAAGGCAGCAACGAGCGGACCGGGTGGTGACCTACTCCTACTGAACTACATACTGCTCTGGACCCGCTGTTGTTCCGTCACCTGCTCCTCTGCTCCTCTGTTTCCTTTTGTGTGTGTGTGTGTGTCTTCGTACCACTTGTGTTTTGTTGGAAGGGAAGGGGTGAGTTTTAAATACTTTCTCTATGCTAGTGTTGTTTATTGGAAATGTGCACATTTGCTGTATTAATTGACATTTCAGAATATGTTATACTCAAATATTGTATGTTATGTCTGTGTAATATGACATTAGTCTAACAAACATCATAATGGAGTTGGAGAATTGCACAGATTTTACTAACATTAACTGAAAATCATTCCACTTGTTTTGTTTATAAAAGGTATAATAAGTGCTACATGTTTTTTACCCACTGTGCTGTTCAACATGTACAGTGCAGAGGTTGATGATTTCTTTTTGGTTTCAGGTGACTGGATCTCTAACACTCTATGAGGAATTGACATTGCTGAGAGGATGGCTGACGGCAACTTGGCACAGGGACTGTTTATCTGTGACCGGATCACTGCTCTAATACAAGTCACAGCTTTGTGATTTGCAACAGGGAGTCAGTCAGCCAGAGGCGATGGGTCAGTCAGAGGGGCTAGAGAGCAGGAGTGGCATAAACAGCCCTGACCCCCTGGTACGAGAAGCCTATCTGATGTTACATGACTATATCAACTATGTGATCGCAGGGCCCGACGGCCACATAGACCCACCCCCTACTGCCACAGCAGCAGCCCTGCGCCATGCTGGGGACGAGCTGCTCATTAGGTTCCCCATCTTCTTCAGGCGCTGGCCACGCGTCTTCCAGGATGTGACTGAGGCCACAGCCTGCCCCATGCTCACTGCCATCCTGGATGAGCACTTTGCCACCACCACCCCCGGGGGGCGCCGACGAGACCTGGCCTGGAGTGCAGTGCTGTCGGTGTATGTGCTGGCTGGCCAGATGGCCCTGCACTGCCACGAGAGGGGCATGGGGGGAATTCTGCCCCAGCTTAAGGAGTGTGTGGGGGTTTACGTGGAGAGGGTCATCTGTCCAGAGATTAGGGACAAGGGTGGATGGGTAAGTTCACTGGTCAAGGTTCTTTGCTGGCATAGTATGACTAAGGCCTAGATTCAATCAGATCAAGCGTTAACCAGCGATAGCAGACAGCCACATAACGGATGTTTTGGCAGTCGTTGGAGCCGTCGAATCGGCGAGGAGCTGCTCTTGCAATCATTGTCACGAAGCCACACCCGCCCCACTCCCTTTAGAAGTTCAGAACGAGAAAGTGTAAGCTATATAGGAATAATTACACTCAAATTGAAACATAATTAAATGAAATAATGATGATTTCTATCATCCTAATGGAGGTGTAGATTACATCTCACATTCCAGTGTTCCAACTTGTAAACAAGGCTGTATGGGATTTATATTAATGCGACTCTGTGCAGCAAATGGCAATGTCCGCTTTAGGTATAATGCCAGGAGCTGCTTGTGAACCGCTTTAAGGATGTCGGAAAAAGCAGATCTGATTGAATAGAGCACTAGACTACAGTTTAAAATGTGGTTAGGTTGTCCTGTTGTTGTTGTGAATCTTAAATTATGTTTAATTCCTGGGATCTAATCATGTTTTCTGTTGTTGGCAGACAGGCTTTGTGTCCCGCTTTGGGCAGAAGCAGGACTTGGAGGGCCAGGTGAAGAAGGTATGTTGCTGGACTCTACTGCTATTGGTCACCAGTATCCTGTCCTATTTCCTGTTGGAAACGAATAATATCTTCAACAACACCCCGACCTGGTGACTAAAATCAGATAGCTCCAAAAGTCTGCTTTGTGAATAAATATTTTCCCAAAGCATCTCTTTTCCAATTGTATCTCAATGTCCCACTATTGCCTATTTTAAACCATTGAGGTGTGTAATAACAAAGAGTTTTGTAACAATACATCAACAATGCACAACTTACATACATTCACATGATGTGTATCATACTGTGTAACTTAAAACCTCTGAATCATGCTGGTAGAAACATTACATCAGTAATAATGTGTCAGAGGGCAAGATGAACAAGTCAGACAGCGATAATATTGCCTGCCAGGCAGTTATGGGACTTTGCTCTAGACATTGACATATAACAGTTTCAGGGCTCAACAAACATACAATAGGCTCCCAGTATTAACCAGCCAGCTAGTTTACAACTGAATCATAATTCAGTAGAGATAAGCTTTTCACTGTGTCAGGTGTCAGCCAAGGATATTTGCACAATTGAAACAGAAAATGCCCCATCCAGCAGGGTTTATTTTTTTTAAAAATGAAAATTCCCCATCCAGATTTTTTCCCCACTTATTGGTAACAGATATTTTCACATCAGATATCTTTCAGAGCTGATCTGATTGGTCAAGAGACCAATTAGTGAAAAAAATGACCAGATATGGGCTGCCTGTGTAAACACAGCCTTTGGTTTGTCAAGTTCAACCCATGTCATGGCTACATAATGGTGACTGGACAGGCATATTTTAATATTACTCATATACACATTTGACTTTGTCAGCCAAATTAGCAATAAACTTCATGTTAAACGCTCTACAAGAAAGCTTTCTTAGTGTCCAACAAGCTTTCTCTGCCCTTAACCTTGATCTGAACACCTCCAAAACAAAGGGAATGTGGTTTGGTAAGAAGAATGCCCCTCTCCCCACCGGTGTGATTACTACCTCTGAGGGTTTAGAGCTTGAGGTAGTCACCTCATACAAGTACTTGGGAGTATGGCTAGACAGTACACTGTCCTTCTCTCAGCACATATCAAAGCTGCAGGCTAAGGTTAAATGTAGACTTGGTTTCCTCTATCGTAATCGCTCAACTTTCACCCCAGCTGCCAAACTAACCCTGATTCAGATGACCATTCTACCCATGCTAGATTACGGAGACGTAATTTATAGATCAGCAGGTAAGGGTGCTCCCGAGCGGCTAGATGTTCTTTACCATTCGGCCATCAGATTTGCCACTAATGCTCCTTATAGGACACATCACTGCACTCTATACTCCTCTGTAAACTGGTCATCTCTGTATACCCGTCGCAAGACCCACTGGTTGATGCTTATTTACAAAACCCTCTTAGGCCCCCCCCGTCCCCCCCTATCTGGGATACCTACAGCAGCCCTCATCCTCCACATACAACACCCGTTCTTTAACATTCTGTTAAAGGTCCCCAAAGCACACACATCCCTGGGTCGCTCCTCTTTTCAGTTCGCTGCAGCTAGCGACTGGAATGAGCTGCAAAAAACACTCAAACTGGACAGTTTTATCTCCATCTCTTCATTCAAAGACTCAATCATGGACACTCTTACTGACAGTTCTGGCTGCTTTGAGTGATGTATTGTTGTCTCTACCTTCTTGCTCTTTGTGCTGTTGTCTGTGCCCAACAATGTTTGTACCATGTCTTGTGCTGCTGCAATGTTGGGTTGCTACCATGTTGTTTTCATGTTGGGTTGCTACCTTGCTGTGTTGTCGCCATGCTATGTTGCCTTAGGTCTCTCTTGTTGTGATGTGTTTGGTCCTATATTTACTTTTTCTATCCCAGCCCCCCGTCCCCGCAGGAGGCCTTCTTAACTGACTTGCCTAGTTAAATAAAGGTGTATAGACTACATGTGTATGCTTATGTGTGCGCTAACATCGAAATGGGGATATAAGAAACTAAAAAGGGTTTATGAAACATCACTTCACTTGCCAATTTGGTCTGTTAACATTACACGGGATAGAAGTTATTGGATAACCAGTAGGGTTATTAGCACTACAGTGCATGTTGTCAGACTAAATCATAGCTTGAGTGGCTAAAATCACTCACCTGCAAAACAGATTTACCATGAGCTTAGCTCACTAATCAGATTTCAGAGGCACGCCAAAACATGTAAACCCCTGAGCTATGCCTCAGAAAACTAGCACATGACTGTGCTGGGCAACAGTGTAGCCCTTCTTTGTACTATGTATAGAAAACATACAGGAATGATTTCATAAATGCACCACCAGGAACAGCTGCACTACAATTATATATATAAAAAAACTGGTTACAATACAATAAATACTCATGTCATTTGAATGATGATTTCACCACTGAAACCTATTGCCTAGTTGAAGAACTGGTGGTTGTAAGAATAATGGTTTGACGTGACAACTGATCTGGCTATTATTGAAGCCCAACCATAGTTTATTGAAGCAACCATTAAATCGAGGGATACAGCACATTAAACAAAAGAACTTTTATTGACATGTTTCTGTACAGACAAGAAATGACAGGAATAGCAGAGGTGACAAAACAAAAAAGGACAGTTAATGGAACACTGGAAAGGTCGAGACTGACATGTCAGTGAATTATACAGCTTGGATGTGCACAATTACAAACATTTAGGCCAGCTCCTCTTCTCCCTCCTCTTCAAACTCTCCCTCCTCCTCAGCGGTGGCATCCTGGTACTGCTGGTACTCAGACACCAGGTCATTCATGTTGCTCTCAGCCTCAGTGAACTCCATCTCGTCCATACCCTCTCCGGTGTACCAATGGAGGAAAGCCTTACGCCTGAACATGGCTGTGAACTGCTCTGAGATACGCTTGAACAGCTCCTGGATGGCTGTGCTGTTGCCGATGAAGGTAGCAGCCATCTTGAGGCCACGGGGAGGAATGTCGCAGACGGCGGTCTTGACATTGTTGGGGATCCATTCAACGAAGTAGCTGCTGTTCTTGTTCTGCACGTTCAGCATCTGCTCATCCACCTCCTTCATGGACATGCGTCCGCGGAAGATGGCAGCCACTGTAAGGTAGCGGCCGTGGCGGGGGTCGCAGGCGGCCATCATGTTCTTGGCATCGAACATCTGCTGGGTGAGCTCGGGCACAGTGAGGGAGCGGTACTGCTGGCTTCCCCTGCTGGTGAGGGGGGCGAAGCCAGGCATGAAGAAGTGGAGACGGGGGAAGGGCACCATGTTGACAGCCAGCTTGCGGAGGTCAGCGTTGAGCTGTCCTGGGAATCGCAGGCAGGTTGTGACACCGCTCATTGTTGCCGACACCAGGTGGTTGAGGTCGCCGTAGGAGGGAGTAGTGAGTTTGAGGGTACGGAAGCAGATGTCATAGAGAGCCTCGTTGTCAATACAGAAGGTCTCATCAGTGTTCTCCACTAGCTGGTGGACTGAGAGGGTGGCGTTGTAGGGCTCCACCACAGTGTCTGATACTTTGGGTGAGGGCACCACGCTGAAGGTGTTCATGATGCGGTCGGGGTACTCTTCACGGATCTTGCTGATGAGCAGGGTGCCCATGCCAGAGCCGGTTCCACCTCCCAGGGAGTGGGTGAGCTGGAAGCCCTGCAGACAGTCACAGCTCTCAGCCTCCTTCCTCACAACATCCAGGACGGAGTCCACCAGCTCAGCTCCCTCTGTGTAGTGGCCCTTGGCCCAGTTGTTTCCAGCACCACTCTGGCCTGCAAAACAAGAGATTGGATAAATCCTCTCGCCTTTCTTTGGCGACATTATGTACAGTATTTTTATCATATTGAAATATGAAGCAGAGGGACCTACCGAACACAAAGTTGTCAGGTCTGAAGATCTGGCCGAAGGGTCCAGATCTCACAGAGTCCATGGTCCCTGGCTCCAAGTCGACAAGCACGGCACGAGGCACGTATTTACCACCTAGACAACCAGGAGGAAAATAAAGGTCAATGTCAGAACCACACATATATTCAATTGAGAAGGATAAGGAATTTGATAAATGTGGTTATACATTAGACAAACAAGGCTTACCTGAGGCTTCATTGTAGTAGACGTTGATCCTGTCGAGCTGGAGGTCACTGTCCCCATGGTATGTACCAGTTGGGTCAATGCCATGTTCGTCACTGATCACCTCCCAGAACTGGAAGAAGAGCAGTCGGTTTTAGTTTACAGCGCAAAATGGAATTCATAACAGGTAGGCTAATATGCCATTCAAAGTGTGATCCGTTAATCAAATACATGGTAGGCCTATGCAGTTATTAGATTGTTTCAATATTCCCATTTTATCACGTCAATGGATCAAATCGACTATATTGCAAGGTTCATTATAGGTACACACTTATGGTTAGGTATCTGGAATGAAAATGTCCCTCCTGTAAAATTCCGCGCGCGCGGCATGACCTCCGATTGGCTGAAACCCATCAGCAATGGTTTTGAAAATGTCGAAAACGTCACTTGCTGAAACACCGCCCACATCTGCCAAAAAACCGGGCGCGGCGCGCTATTAATGAGACGAATTTAGGTCATAATATGGGATTAAACAAATTTCCCTTTTTTTTTCGGGATTTTTGTTGTTGTTTTAAAACAATAACCGATTTGTATTCACTACTTAATAGATTACTTGGAATATGGCCATTTAATTTGACATCTCTTAGGCCTACTTCCCCTTTTGCGCATTGCAGTAGGTCGAGTAAATTGTTGTAATCCATACCCATATTCACATTTAATGGATTTGTACATATTTAATAAAACAATTTCTTAATACCCATTCTCATGTATATTGTCTCACTCACCAGTAGGCTACAGTGTAAGGATAATTTCCAAACCAAATAAAACCGGTCCAATAAAAATATACAGTAGTGCATAAAAAAGACCAACACTTTTTTAATTTTCTCCCCCATCAAACAATAACGTCAACCAATATAGGTTAGGAATATTCTTTGCTTGCATTTCCATTAACAATACAGTTCTTTGGGTGTGGTTAACTGGACACGCATACAAAGAAACGGCGATATTACGCACAGTTATTTATCGCTCGATTTGTACCATATTAATAAAACAGATGACTAACCTTAGCTCCGATCTGGTTTCCACACTGTCCAGCTTGAAGATGCACGATTTCCCTCATTTTTACTTTGGCTGTAGAACAACTCTTATACCAACACGAACCAGTGGCTTCCTTTCTTAGAGTGCGCGATAAGAATGGGCTCCCTGACTATATAAGAAGGACTTGGTGCCCGCCCCTTACATCTATGTCACTAAATCTGACAAATCTATTGGCTAATATTTATCAGACCCAGTTATTGACACACTTCTAGACCTATCAAATTCACAAAGAATGATTTTCATTGGCCTCTTCTGTCTATCAATCAAATTAAACGAAAACGTGTGATCCTCACATAATCTTGAAGATTTGTCCTGCTTACTTTATGCCGGCTAAAATCATATCTCATTTTAAACTATATTTTCTTCACCATATTTTGATCCAATAAACCTCACAGAGTACATGATTAAGAGAAGCACCTGTTGACTCTTTAAAATATGTGAAACCTTTTCAAATAAAATGGTAGAACTACGAACAACCTCACCAATTTATTCGAAGTCCACGTGGCTCATTGTTACTTTGTAACCATTCCTGGCAGAATTCTTTCAGCTTCTTGGGGGTGAAACGTAGCTATTTCGTTTCTCGATGTACATTTTGTCACATGAAATGTATCCAACATCATGTCACATGTTTTCTGTCAAGAAAGGGATCTAATATGTCATCGAAAATATGTCAGTTGTTTTGTTATCATAACACAACATAGTCTACAGCCTTTCGTACTGGGCCGGAAACCTTCGATTAGATTATATGTACCCAGTGTCATTTATATCCCTAATTCTCTGCGTTGTTGTTACATATGTCTGAATATGGGTGCCTCCCTTTTTGCGCATTGTAAAACATGGCTGCCTGGGCTGTGTCAGGGGCTTTACAGACAGACTGCTTGGCTGCTCCTTTGCCCTTACAGGCCACAGTGAGAACTTCACCACAGGATTATCATAAGTAAACTATATCTCGAAGAAATCCTGCATATACATAACCTATTGTTGTGAATGAATACATGTCTGATTAGTCTATGTATTACAATTGCCAACGGACGACTCTGACCTGGGGCCCCATTGTAACCAGCTCCTTGGTATGTATTTCTGATCACAACATAGGTCCAGTCATGAAGTGACAGACAGTCCAATAAAATGTTTAATCTGCTATGTTAAATTAATCTTTGTATTGGCATAGTCTTCATTATATAATATGAAACAACACTTCAATGGTGCAATGAAACAGCTCAAATACAGTTTAGCATGAGACAGGGAGGTTGGGCTATCGATCTCAACACCAGAGACAGACACTGTCTGGAAGGATGAACAAAACAGGGAGGGGTGCAGCAGCAGGAGAGAGTGAGAGAGTGGGCTTGGGAGGGGAGCAGTGCATGTCTGTTTTAAAGACAGAGAGGGCTGGAATGAGGGTAGGGGGCTTATTAATAGTTAAAATGTGTGCCAGGAGGAGAATGTGTCCGAGACGCCAGCGCTCACCTCCTGCATGGGCACAGTAGCTGTGCGCTGGAGGACAGAGGAGAGACACCCAGCTGTTTCTCTGTTAGTTAGGACCGATATCCATTGAACAGACCTTTATGGAGGACCTATAGGGGCTTTACCTTGAGTCTGGTGATCAATGCCCATTCAGCTCTTACCACTGTATCCATAACATGCATTTTCATGTAGATTAAGACTATAGAGAAGTCAGGGAGTAGGGATAAGAGCTCTGTGTGCTGAATGAATAGCCATACTCAGAAACAAAGGGCCTAGTTTCAATCTCATTACAGCATAGTGCATACAGTCCATTCTCACAGCGTAGGCTGCCTTTGCAGAGACATCGCTGCTGTGTTCACTCTATAACTGGGTCATCATACAGTGTACTCTCAGTTTGATATAGCACACAATGACATTCCCTGTGGTGCCCCCAGTGTGTACACTTCAATGTATACATACACTGAGTGTACAAAACATTAGGAACGCCTTCCTAATATTGAGTTGAAGAGCAGGTGTTCCTAATGTTTTGTACACTCAGTGTATATACAGAATACTAGTCTATACATATGCCTATGACCGTGGGAGCTGTTCAGTTGGGCTGGTGACAAATATGTCCAAAGCATAGTATTTCATATGAATCTTAACCACAGTGTGCTTTCAACTATAATTTCATGGCCCCTACATTTTTCCTCCACGGTAGTGTCCAGTCACAGAGGACAGGGAAGAAGTGGGTGGGTTAACAGTAACAAAAGGGGAGAGAGTGGGGCTTTCTTGTGAGAACTGGCAGAAGGAGAGCCTGAGGAGAGACAAAAGAAATCAATCACAAATACATTTCCATGAGTAACATCCTATACAGTGGAAGCAGCTCATTATGGTTTCACACAACACCTTTCCCATATCATCCTCTGTCTGTGCACACACATCCCCATTCTATTTCTATCTCAGCCTTAGAAATCTGAATTTAATATAAATTAAAAGTAGCAGAAAGACAAGGGCTGGGCCTATCCAACAATAGACAGCCTCAAGACAGGGCTGGAGGTGTGAGATTTCCTTTTGATTCAACCCATTTTTATCCCTCTGCAGTAAATGAATTATTCATCTAACTTTGGAGGGGAATAGAGTCTGACTAAGTGGTGTGATGTCATGTGAAGCTGAGTGAGGCCTGAGCGTGTCTACTGCTACATCAGCATAAAAGCACCTCCGAGTCGAATTGAGGGCATTTGCTGGCCTCGGCTCTTTATGGACTCATTTATGGACATAATGTTACCTCATTATATGCTTACAGTAACATGCAGCTTGGCTGTCCCACTAGACTAGAGCTCCCCAGAAGGTTGATGGTTAAATTGCGCTGTCCTGACTTGGCATCTTCCCTACATCTGCAGTAGACTACTTCATCTTCTCTGTACTGCCAGATAGTGTGGCAGACAGTGATACACTACACCCAGAGAAAAAGGATTACAACTGTAGATATAACAGAATCAGTATTATACTGTATCTCTATGACTTGACTACAATATTCTCAGGGTGGAGTGTGAGGAAGAGTTAGCTCCACATTCACGTTACATAACAAAGAGACCATGACCATGCAAAAAATACTCTCTGCAGAATGCAAATGCTAGCTAGTGTAGGCTACAATAGTTACTGTGTTGCAGTGGGCATATCGTGATGCTATTCAAGCACTGTGTTTTCTACCAGTGTGGAACAAGTACACACAAGTCAATTTATAAATGGATGCTGATTTGCAACAGCTTGACAGTAGAATTCTAAAGAACTGTAAAGTACTTGTCACGCCCAGTCCTGCTCAGCTAGCCAGCATATTGGTACAGACAGATGTCTACTCGCTACAAGAGGGTTCTCCCAACAATTATTTGGGCAACATTTGGGTAACATTAAATTTTTCCAGTGAATATCTGACATTTTGTCAAGTTTAATTGGAGAACAGCAGAAATCAAAGGTGGTCTTCCCTGGCCTGGCCTATACAGTAGAATTGTGGGTGAGCGGGTGGAATGGGGGTGGGGTTAATAATGCAGGCCAGGTGTGGGACATGAACAGCTGTGTCTCACGCTGATTATGTACTGTACAGTATGTCTGCTGATGGAGCCCAGTGATTTAGACATATCAGGTTACTTTCCTCAGTATTTACATTTACTCTGGAATGCTGTTACAAGAAATGGTTGTGTCTGATTCCTATCTCTCATAGCGTAGTAAGCTGTGTATCACCATATCTGTCCCTAATAAAGCGTAACAATCTGTGAGTGAATGGGTGAGATTCATTATTGTAAGAGAGAGAGGGGGAGGGGCACTCCTTCAGTGGTGGTGGAGTAGGCTAGGCTACAGTGTGAATAATAGAACAGTGCCCAGATGCAGAGAGGGAATGCATCATTCTTCCATAGATTTTCCTGAGATTGGCCATGCATGCTAGCCTTCTCTGCTTTTCTCTCTTCTCCCTCTGTCTCCATGGCTGGTCCCCTGGGAGAACAGTCAGTCAGGAAGCACAGCTGATGCTAACGCTGCCAGACACTCAGCTCCATACTATGCGGCACATCCACTGAGCTTACTGATGATGATGTTGATACATACACAGAGAACATACGGTCAGCTGTGGCCCGGGGAAGTCCAGACTTCTGCTGTGACACTTATCAAAACAGGCTATCACATCACAGACAATATACTATGCTGGTTATGTAGTGGGCTATCACTGCCACTGGCTGAATGACTGAAGTGGGATAATGATGGCGGCTGAGATGGAAGGTAATGGGTGTGGTGATGGTAGAACAAAATGGGGGATGGGTTTATATTGATTAAGGATGAGTCACTGGATCAATTTGGATTTATAGCCTTCTGGAGGGGGGTGATGTAATACTACTGCATCACTAATTTAGGGATTTTGAGATTAGAGTAGATGCGTTCTTTCCCAAAGACAATGTAAATACATTTTCAAGATCTCTTGTAATAAATACTGGCCCACTAGACGGCACTTAGCAACAGGCTCATATCTGGTGTATGGTTGGTTGTGACAGAGCATATTTTGAGATGTTTATGAGACGTTGTGGGAGTGTCCATTCATTAATAAATTACATTTGCACTCTTCAAGTGATTCTTTAATCAAATGAATTTGGTTTACCAATCACATGTTTTTCTCTGTGGTGTTCTTTCCTTTTTCTAAGGGCAGATATTATCTCTAAATGGTTTAAATGAGCTCTGTAGTAGGGACATTGATTTTAATCAATCAATCAATGATTCCAATAAATACATGTATGGTGTTTTATTGAACCATATTGGACACTACTACAGTCACCCATAATGACACAGTGGGTAATGGGATATGGGTAAAGCAGACTTAAAACTGTTACCAAAAGATTACAATCTCTGGGACAGCATCCAAACAGATGCTCATTTGGTATGATGATCTCTTTCAGAGGCCTGCCACTGGCGGCAGCTGCTAAGCAGTCCACTGTGTGTTCGACTCAATACCCCTCCCTTATTACAGGCCAACTCCCAACACTTCCAGAGAGCAATCACATTCCAATCATCTACTGCCATCTTCTGGCTGTATTGAAAACCAGTGTCATGTTCATTGATTATTGGAAGAATACGTCCCAGGACACTGCCGATCTTGTATGAATTCACAATTTCCAATAGACCCTCATTAGGGTGTTTT